GGCCGGGGGAGCCCGGGCAGGGCTGGTAGGGGGGGGCTGGGGCGCGGTGAGACCCTCGGCAGGGCTGGGACGGGGCTCGGGGCAGGGTCGGACCCCCGGCAAGGGCTGTGGATGGGTCGTGAGTCGGGGGACAGGGCCAGAAGTGGGGGCTGAGGAGGGTTGTGGGGCAGGGGACAGGACCTGAGGCGAAGAATACCCCCCGCAGTCAGGGCTGAGGAGGACACGGGGCTGGGGACAGGCCCTTGGCAGCTCTGTGGTGGAGGTGATGTGGTGGCCGGTGTCCTTTGGGTGAAGGTCTCATGCTGGTGCCTTTGGGTTGGGGGACATGAGCGAAACACCTCTGCACCCTTCTCTTGGGCACCCTCGTGGTGTGGTTGTAGGTACCAGGGAACCTGGCAGCGCAGGTGTCTCCCACAGAAACTCAGGAGTGCCACGCAGTCTGATTTCTAGAAGAAAGAAGGAGATAACCCTCTCCAAAACATGGTGGAAGAGGTGGGAGAGAGGAGTAACCCCCTCTCTAAAACCCTGGTGGAAAATTCCTGTCCTCCCACTCTCCACAGTGGAACAGCAGGAGGGAAGATAGAGAAAGTCGGTGAGGGAGATAAGACTTTTTTTTTTTTTTTTTATAAACTACAATCTGTTTTGTCCCTCAAGAGGTGTGCTGTGTGAGAGGACGGTGGCAGAGGTGCCCTGCAGGCTGTGGCTGCCCCAGGACACGCTGACACAGCCCAGTGCCGTCAGGGACCTCGGAGCGGCACAGAGAGACCTGCTGGGTTCACAGAGGAACGTGGTGTCACGGTGTTCTGTGAGGGCACTGCCATGCTGACGTAGCACACTAAACATGTCATGTGGTGCCTCTTCCTCTTTGTCAGCAAGACAAATAGTCACCTTTGCCTTTAGCTGCCACAGGAGATACTGGGGAGCACCGGACTGGCAGGGGTTGCTGCATCAAGGTTCAGAGATCGGCTATGGCAGGCAGCCGCACCTTGTTGTCCCCTTCATACAACTCATGGCTTTGTTTTGAACCCAGTTGGCTTTTTGTCCCACTGCTTTTATCAAAAGACTGCTCTGAAACCTCCCTGCTCTGGAGTTTGAAAATGGTCTCCTGATCTCCAGCCTAAATTTATTCACGGCCAAATTATATTCCTTGCACTTGTGCCTGGTCTGCCCACTAGCTCTTTTCTCTCTTACCTCCGAGTTGATGTTATCTGCTTTTGTGTAGCAGTTTGTCTGCTGACTGGAATTATGCATGGAAAAGAAGTTTCCCATGCCCTAAGAGAGGTTATTTTAACCTCTCTGAAGGAGCTAAATACTTATTCTTGATCTGAGTGTGATCACTTATTGGATAACAGCATCATTTATTCATAAGGGAATATTTATACCTTCAGTGTAAATACTGTTTTGAAATTGTTTTTGTGAAGACCCATTAAAAGCGCTTATAATGTTTTCCATCTTCTGCTCTTGTTTTTTTCCTAGGCAGTAAGAAAGGGAGTAGGTGAGCTCAAAGATTGTGATGGGAAGCAGCTTTAAAACAGAGGAGTGAATCAGCACTGAGATTATGGTGAAATTGCCTGTGTGCCTAGCCATGCCAAGCACAGAAAACACGGGAATCAGAAGGGGATAAGGGAAGGGGAGACAGATGTTTTAAATGCTGACATTTTTCAATTTTAGTTATTTTACATGTGAGCAAAACATCATCCAACAATCTATGCAGCCTGAGGAAAACATCACCTGCAAATCTGGTTTGAAAAGCTGATTCCCTCGGTGTCTTTGTAAGACTAAAATCACTGGTCTCCTCAATTAAATTATCATTTTAAGTGCGTTTAAGCTGTTAGTGCTTCTTAAAAAAGCAGTCCTCTTCCCTTCCTCTCCTCCCTCCCACTCCTGCCATCCCGTCCGCCCACTCACGCTGTTCTGGGCACGCTGTGCGGTACAAATGCTTCTGCTGTCACTCAGTTGAACAGGCTGGGGAACCCATCTCACTGAAGAATCGGGCTGGTTTTTAGATCGATGCTTTTCTGCCTGGCTCTGCTCTCCGGTGGAGTTCACCCCACCAGGTGCTCATGTAGGTGGGGTGCAGGGAGCAGAGAAGGGGCCTCTTGTTGACCGCGCTGGTGCTGCCCATCTCCTTGGTGAGACCTCACCACAGGTAGCCCTGTGCTGGACTCTGCTCGTTACTAAGTGGGATTTAGTAATCGTAGAACGGTTTGGGTTGGAAGGGACCTTAAAGATCATCCAGTTCCAACCCCCTGCCATGGGCAGGGACACCTCCCACCAGACCAGGTTGCTCAAAGTCCCATCTGGCCTGGCTTTGAACCCCTGCAGGGATGGGGCAGCCACAGCTTCTCTGGGCAACCTGTTCCAGTGTCTCACCACCCTCACAGGAAAGAATTTCCTCCTGATATTTCATCTAAACCACCCCTCTTTCAGTTTAAAACTGTTATTCCTCGTCCTATCACTCCACCCCCTGAATAATAACTCTGCAGAGGCTTTTGGACAAAGGCGGAATGAGAAGATGCCATGGTTTGTCTAAGGAGACAGCCAAAAGGGACATGATAATAACGTACAGAGCATTTGAGCTGCAGAAAAAAAAAAAAGTAAGAAAAGTATCTGAGGCTTTTCTTTCTCCCTAAGAAAAGTGTCAGGAGGCATTCAGAGGAAGCAAAGAAAGGCACTGAAAAGCCTCAGAAAGCCCCCTTTTTCAGGCAAGTTCTCACAGCCCTGGTACTGACTGCCACCGAGCTGCTGCTGGGTGGTGCCAGGGTGTCAAAAGGACAGGCGTTTATGACAGTAATAGTTATGAAAGCCAATCAAGGATTTTTGGGAAAGACGCCTGAATTCAGTAATCAAACCAGCCCTTGGTCACTGTGGGTTAGGAGAACCTTTCCCTCAACCTTTGGGGTTCCTGCCTGGTTTCTTTGGCCCGGGGCTGGTTCTGCTGGAGATGAGACGTGCTTTCAGAGGGCTGGAGGGACGTGGTGCTCACAGAGATGTGTGAGAAGCTCCCTCTACTGAGAAAACCACAGCATATTCGGTTGCCTGGAAGGAAAAAGCCCATCAGGGGATGTAGGCTGGTGTGGGGTTTTTCTGTGTGACACACGTGTTGTTCCAGGTATGGGCTGAACGAATCTTGAGAGCTTTCGTACGTGG